TTGACAAACATTTCCCAACCTGGACCCACAGCATTTCCCGCTGAGGGCTGTATGATCCTCTTCAGTAAGGCTTAAAGACTTCAAAAGGCACAGAAAGTAGAGAAGCAACACCAAACAAAAAGCTAATATAGTGCAAGGCTTCGCCTGCTATTCTTTTGTTCTTCATTTTTAGTTTATCTTCGATGCAGTTACTCCTTAAGTTAGGAACCAATCTGCTTGATGACTGCTTTCAGCGAGTTTAAATTTGTCACATCTGTAAGTATAGAGACAATAGGAAAAAAAATCTGATAAACTGCTCTGGAGAGAAAAACCACAGCATTTAATAGAAAGACCTCTGAAACCAAACATAAATCTCTTCAAAGACCTGTATTTTCCTGCTAGCTTTCGGATTTATTTTGCACCAACAGACAATGGCATGTTTACATGCTACATTTCAGAGGTTCATTGAAAAAAGCTACCAAAATTCCAGCTGATCTCAGCATCACTCTGAAAGACAGTCAAATTCCATGTTGCAAAACCTCGTTGCAGTATCAACGCAGTTTTTTAATGAGAAATGAAAACTTCACACACAGGACATCTTTTAAATCATTTATTTCAGTAGGAAAGATTTCTGAAACCTGTAATTCATTTCAACTAGCTTATGCAAACACACTATTTTCACACACACGCACACAGAGAATAAAGTATTAAAAAAGAAGAAAAGGGCTAGAGGACAGCCAAACTGCACATCACTCAACGAGATCACAGTGCAATCCCTCTATCCCTGTAACACCTCATGCCAGCAGGGAATATTAAAAATGGCTTGTGTTTACTGCATGACAACCTTGATCCCCCTCTTCCAGTGACAGTTGGCCCTTACAGGATTATTCTAAACCACGTCTACTACTTCTGGTGCTTTTCACACTTCAGTATGGTAGTATTTGAATGGATATGCTCCTGTACACAAGGAGTTTGAATTGCCTGTAAACAAGGCACCCCAGAAGCCTTTATTTCAACATTTAATCAATTTATACTGCTTTTCAGCTCCATCTGTGAACAGCTTTGGAATGGTAAGAAATACCTTCAGGAAACACACGTGAACGCCAGAACATACCTAAATAAAGAGAAATGATATGCTAATCAAATACACAAGGGAAACGGAATATTTATGATGCTTTTAGTCATTCAAGAGCAAGATCAGGCTAATAGCCATAACTGTGACACTATCTGCAGGAACTTGCATTTCATCACATTTCATACACCATTTTTCTTAGCAATGTAACTTCAAGAAAACTTGTCAGCTCTGTTCTGTAACAGGCATGGCTAAACCGAGTAATTTGTCCTTTCTCCTTTGACCTAACCCTTCCATTGTCTTTGAAGAGTCTAGAAAGCATAAGATTTTCTAATTACCCTTCCAACATCTGAACTTATAAACACTAAAACTGCTATGTTTTTATAAGGATGTGTTCCAGGAAAACAAGTATTTAATTGCTTGAGAATGACATATTCTTTCATTTTCTCCTTCAGATACTTGCTATTTCTTACTACTAAAACAATCTCTAGCAGTTGTTTCAGTGAAGGACAGTACTCTCCACATAGCATTGAGTTTATGGGATATTAAAAAAGAGTAAGATTTATTCAAGCTTTTTTTTTTTCCCATTTTTTTTTCTGATAGTTGTAAGAACGCTTTTCAATGTTTAAATCAAAATTGGAAAGAGAAAAGCAAGCTCCTTTCTAATAATGTGAGCTCTTAGTTCATGTGGTCTAGACCATGATTTGGATTACCCCATTCAATCCCTACCCCCCATCTATCCAGAGACATACCAAAATAAAATAAAATCAAATAAATTTTGAAGAAGTCTGAGCTACTTCTGACAAGCTGAACAAGTCCAAGCTACCAAATATCTCTGCATTTTTCCTTCAAAGAAGCTATTCAAACACAAACATCCCACCCTCCTACCTCACCCCCCAGTTAAAGCAATTCAAGCCACAACTATTTTACACCAAGCAAAACAGCTAACTTCTGCAGAAATGCAATGACTGTAAGGAATGTTACCCCTTGGAACATCAAGGACACATTATGCAAGTCTGCCATTGTGGTACACTCAGCACTGAAATAAAGGAATTGGTCTTCAAGTTAATAATAAGGCACTGACAAAAGTCCTCCTTAAAAATCAAGCACTCACACTATTGTCACATCATAAATTAGAATGATGGTTTAAAAAAAAAAAGAAAAAAAAGGATAACCCCTACAAACAAATTCCATGTCCACTCTCGTACAGAATCATTCCCAAGACAAATCACCTTATGCACAAGCCAGTTTTAGACAAAAATTAAAAAAAAAAAAAAGGAGAGAAAAAAAGGGCAACACTTAAATAATAACTAAACTTTTGAAACTTTTCCTTGGAGGGCAAATAAGCAATTATCTGATGCGATTTAGTAACAGCCCTGGTATCTTGATGCTTGCAACAGGCAGCATACTACAGTTGCCCATGGAAAAGATTTAGTAATACTGGTGGGTTAGCATACAGAAAAAAGGACAATGAATGAAGAAAAATGCCACTGACAGAGCCAGAAGAAAAAAGATCTCATGATTTACCTTATCTTGATTTGAACAAGTTTTGCAACAGTTAACCAAAATTACAGTATTAATTGCCTTTTATCAAAACTAAATGAAACCTGGTTTTTTAATTTGTTTTTTGTTTTTTATGCTTTCTTTTGCTCCCAATATGTTTTCAAATGCGTATGCATACTTCTATAAATGTTTTTCTTGGTAAAAGTTCAAATGCTCTGCAGTTGCATTTTGAGGAGCAAAGTTAATCAGCTGATTCCCCAAAAGAGACACTGACTCCTCAAGCAGGAGGCTAAAACATCTGCGTAACTAGGGGGCTGCTTGATACACCAGCTGCAGAGTTGACAAATAGTGTTTGTCATTGAAGTATTTTCTTTTACAGATCTTTCTTCAGTATGACTTTTGCAGTAATCTAAAAGAGCTAACAGTAAGACAATTTTAAGCTGGGTACTAAAGCTCACTCATTATTTATGTGCATTCATTTAGTATTTGTAGTTTTAATGTCTATAACTTGCACCTAAATACTTAATGAATCATTATAGCCTCCTCTGGCACGAAATGTCTGCAAATTCAATACATGTCTGGGATGAAGTATGTTAACTCACATTATCAGAATTTTTCAAAAATAAATCTCCTTACCTGCTTTCTAAGAACACTGGAATATAAGACAGGTTTGAAAAACCTAGCCAAAAGTAGTATGGGTTAAGTTAGAAGGATAAAAGTATTCAACAACCACTGCAATTCTATGTATTTCTAATGCACTGCACCAGATTCATAAACCAGACATTCCCTGTTCAGTCTTCCCCAATACTGTTAGTTCAGCTAATGAAGTGGTCAGCAGTCAACAGATGATTAACATTTAAATGCAAAATCTTGCTAAAAAGATCTACACTGAATACTTTTTGCTCATATGCCTCCAAAACAAGTAAGAGGCATCTTTAGTTTCAAAAACCAAAACATTAAGAAATAAAGTGACGAATACTAGCTGAAATATTTCAGCAGTTATTAACAAAATAAGGAATTAGAGAAATACATTAAAAACAAAAGTCAAAAGAGAAACTGCCAACTACCTGAAGTCGTCTGGGTCACAGTATTATCTGAATACCACGAGCTTGTTGCTGTCCTTGTTTTCTCAGCACTGGTGTTAATTATTTATATTTTTAACCCTTTTTTAAAAAAGGGTATTACTACATTCTTTACAGCGTATTTGACTGGTCTGAATCTTCCCAAAGCTTAGCTGAGGCAGCTTTTCCTCAGGGAACAAAACTACCACCTCCTGAGCACCATTTATCTCAAAATATGTAACATTTCAGCATTTCTGTTTTGCCCTGTAGGACTACTTGGCTACAGAGGAGAACAACAGGAAAGTACTGAACTACGCATTGTAACAAATGCCAGTAATGTTTTCCATGTTGTCATTATTCACTCCAGTTACTCTGGCTAAACATTTTAAGTAACTCCTCCTACAATCTCTCCCACAAAACCCAGCATATCTGAGGGTAGAAAAGCATGGAAGAGTAGGAGGCCCAAGAACAATGGAAGTTGGTAACAGGAACAATTCACTAAATGATGATTTGTGAATCTTCTTACCATAAAACCCTAACTCAAAACAGCTGGAAAAATATAAAACCCAATATTAAACAACACCTTCTGACCTGGCTCTGTCTTTAGCAAACTTGTGTGATGTCAAGCTGTGGCTCCCTGCTGCATGTTTCCTTTCACTAACAGAAGAAGAGATACAGTTATGTTGCAATGAACCTACAATAGCTTATTCAGAAATTCAAAATCCACAGGCTATTTTCCACAATGCTTAAAGAAGTACATACATTGTTAAAAAAAACACTTAGCTGTTGAGAACACCACACTAAGTATTTTTTAAAACAGAAAAAACCCCAAAATTAAAGTTGTGCAAAGTCTACGACTGTAACACTGCTGGCTATGAAGATGATGTCTTTACTGTACACCTAACATGGGTAAACATGAGAGATGTGTGAATTGCAGAGGGATTCAACAAAAACAACCTCTTCCGAAAATGAATGACTTCAGGCTCAGAGCAGACTATTCATTCCCCATCAAAACAACAACAACAAAACAAAACAGAACAAAAAAAAAAAATTGCAAAGGGACTCAAATTCCCATGGTGCTTGTGGTGTAATTCTGACAGAAGCATCCTTTCTACCAACAGCCAATTCACCAGAACAATTATTGGAAACAAACCAGCCTATTACTCTTTATTCTACATCACCAAGTAGTCTGAGTTTGTTGTGGTTTTGTTTGTTTGTTTTACAATGAGATTTAATTATCCTTTTTTGTCCCACTTTCCCCTCCTCCCCTCTTCCCTCTGAAACCAATCATCTGCATTAAGAGATTAATTTGATTGTAGAAAAAACCCCAAAAAAATAATTTATAGGCTTCTACTCGAATGCAATAAACAAACTGTACATTTTCAAAGTAATAACTACTAGTAGAAACCTTTATTAGATAGTCAGAGAACTCTGCCACACACTGGTAGGTAGCTTATTTCTTTTTAAAAAGGAGTATTCATGGTGGAATCTGCAGGTGTATTTACGGCCACTAAACCACAATGTCAATGGAACAGTTACTATTTTTTCACAGACTTCAGAGTTCTGACATCGGAGTCATATTTTGGACAACGTCTCCTTGCTTTACAAAGATCATATTTTTGAAGATTAAAGAAAGACTAATCATCCAGGAAACTATATCTAGGCAACGTCAAGGAAACCCAAATAAAGGAAGAATCAAAGTCTTAAGCATAAAACACACATAAAGTATAGCTCCCTTTTTACAACCATAATGTTTTTCTGAAAGTAATTTCAGTGACCAAGAATTATTCCTGTCAAGGGTGGAATTTTCAGTCCCACACCTTTTCTCTCCCTAGGTTACCCTACCTTCTAATATATTAATTATTTGTCTGGAGATCACAAGAGTTTCTGTATGTAAGGTCTGCTTTAGGCCATGTTATCAGCACCACACAACGTCAACTATTTTGACCAAGACAGATACTAAAAACCAGTTATTGCCAAATGAGAACATGAAAGCTTGAAATTGTGCCTCTATCTTTTTAAAATGGAGATCTTAAGTGATACTATGAAACACCATATGCTAACAGTGGTCCCTAACTGATAATTAACAGATACCCAGAGAAGTAAAACATCTCAGTGAGCTATACCCAGGTGTTTGGTTCTTTTGTCATTCAACCTTTGCATGTAGGAGAGTTACAGGTACACAAACAAATGGGAAGAAAACACTCAGCTCTGACCCCGCAGTGCTTTCAGGTTTGTCTCTTCCGCACACGCACCTTGACCACCCAAAACACGTGAACAACATTTTTAACATGGAATTAGGTAACAACGTACCAAAAAAATTTTGGTGTGTAAGTGCTCAGCCTTTGTGCCACTTGTAGGGAATATGGCTCCCATACAGTACTGATGTTTGCAAGCTTACTGCTACTTTAAGCTTGCAGTAGTTAACATTTCTTCTACTTGTAGGTCTGAGAGAAATAACATTGCTCCAGGCTAAGTGTGCCTGGGACAAGCTCCCACCAACAACTCCTGGTATAAACAACATATCTAGAACATGTAGTACCTCTTTTACCCAGTTCATACATAGCTTTTGATACAAGTCTTAAATACCAGTTCACTTATTTTCTTAAGAATGCCTAAAAAGGTGAGTTATTTTCAAAATTAGTATAAAGTTAAAAGAAACTCAAACTAGCTACAATCTATTTAACTCAAGCACAGCACCGCCAGAAGTTTCACACACACTATTTGGTGTTTCATGTTGTTTCTCCTTTCACTCTTTAAGGCAGTGGTTTCCACAGGTCAGTTCAGAGAACATAATGAAGCATGGTCCATGGCAATTCTTGTTGTAACTCCATTTTTAATTCGGGGGACTCTACTCCCCAACCATTAGTGGTTTTGTTCAGGGCTCCAGAGTTCAGAGATCGAGTTGACAGGCTCTGTTCTGGCACAGAATACAGCTGGCACATTTTTCATCAGGACCTTGTTCTCGATTATGAGATGGTTTAAAGTGTTCCTGTTTTTGCTTTGAATTAACCTGTTATTCAAAGGTCATCAAGTTGGCAGGAACCTGAAAATAAAAATATAACAGATTTAGTTTGGGTAGTAGCTACTTACACTCCATCATTTCACAGACTAGTCACCTGTTTAAATGCACATCATTAATGCTTGGACTGTCTCCAAACAAGGGGAGGAAGAATGCAACTGTCATTCAGCAGTACAAATATATTTAGAGCTGTAGAAAACCAACGTATAACCAAAATATTAAACTGCTGCGTGGTTTATAATTTTATATATATGGCCATAGATCTTATTAATTTTGATGACATTTAAGATTTAAGTTGTCAGCAGAACAACCTTAGTATGATAAATCTCAGCACCAAACTACACAAGCAGAACCTTCTCAGTTGAGTCTCACCTCCAGAATTCTTGGCACACAGGTCAGTGATTGATACAGGCCTTCTAGTATTTTTAAGACTAATTTAAAAAAACAAGGCATAAACACTTGCCTGGGCTTTTCCCATAGGAAACCTGAATGCCTGCTGTAGACATCGCTCCCTTTCATGAAGATTAAAGCTAGTTTGCACTACATTAGTTTATATCCCCATCTTCTCCCCATCAGGAATTTACCTGACAGCAACATCTCTTGTTTACTTAGGTTATGAAAGAGCCACCAAATTCCAGATGACTATCAACAAATACCCAGATTGGTCAGATTTGAAGCAAGCATTTCTTTTGCATTTATGTTTCTTGAGTACCTCCTGTACGAAGGCAGGCTAAAAAAGTTGGGGCTGTTCAGCCTGGAGAAGAGAAGGCTGTGTGGAGACCTCGTAGCAGCCTTCCAGTATCTGAAAAGGGCCTACAAGCACGCCAGAGGGACTCTTCATCAGGGACTGTAGTGACAGGACAAGGGGGAATGGGTTTAAAATTAAACTGTGGAAGTTCAGGTTAGATATAAGGAAGAAGTTCTTTACTGTGAGGCTCGTGAGGCACTGGAACAGGTTGCCCAAAGAAGTGGTAAATGCTCCATCCCTGGCAGTGTTCAAGGTCAGGTTGGACAGAGCCTTGGGCAACATGTTCTAGCATGAGGCATCCCTGTCCATGGCAACAGGTTGGAACTAGATGATCTTAAGATCCTTTCCAATCCTAACCATTCTATGATTCACCATTTACACGTAGAAGCAAGAATGATCAACTGGGCTAAAGTTCCACCATTAAAATTAAAAATAATATCTATTAAAATAGTTCCCAGTATTATTCAAAACTGGGTAAGTTTCTATACTCTATCAAAAGCACATTTAAACATCCAAACTTGCTTAGGCAGTCATACTGTTAACAAGCAAATAAAATCTTTCATTTTAAACAGTACCATAAAGGCATCTCTCTAGGGAAAGCACTGCTCAGGAATCAAATCACAATCAAGAGAAAAATTTTTACAGGATTTTTTTTTGCCTCTCATATGGTAAACCAACCTTTGTACCCTAATGTCTGTGTAGAGCATTGCTTCTTCTATGGGAGCAGCTATGCTGCAGGAACCCACATAGTACAACTACACAACATGCCATGAAACAGAAAATACACAACAAATTATGGTAGCAGGTTTTTTACCTTTCAGTGGAAGTTGTTATTTTTGTTAGTTGTTTTTTGTTTTTGTTTTTGTTTTTTTTTTTAAACTAATCCTACCCTCCTTTTTTCTTTTAAAATTGCCTTCACCTATCTTCACTTTGCTGTCATATTTTCCACAGGTGGCTTCACCAAGATCCTTAAGCCTGCTGTGTTTGCACAAGCTAGGGGCTGAATGCTTTAAACAAGTTTGCATTAAATATTATTGTTAAGCCGTACTGAATAAAAGCTGTCCTCAGAGGGCTGTTTTCAAGCTTGCCTGGAAGTCAGCACTTGCTTGCAAACTCTTTGCCACTATTCCCACATTCGCCAGCCAGTAACACAATTTATTTCCTCTCCTTTGCACTGTCTGTAATACTTTTTGAATGCTAAGGTTTACTGCTTTTTATATAACTGTACAATAGCATTTTTAAAATAGGCAGTGACAAAGATACTGCTGCTCAGACAGATATTTAAGAGCATTCCTTCCATTTCTCCAATTGCTTTAAAGTAGCCTCAAGATAGCCCCAAAACTTTCTTCATTACCACAGAAACTCCGAGGACTTGTTTGTGAACGGAAAAACAGGAAAGCTAAGACAAATCAACAGGCATGTGAAATTGACGTACATGCAGCTCAGAGTAGACTGCTCTTCATAGAAAGCTATCAGTTACAGCTTGGTCATCTTCAAGATCTATCTGTTCTGAGCTCTTAATAGCTCATATTCCTTTTCAACATCTTTCTCTCACCTGTTGTCTGTTGCTTTGGCAGGCAGCACTCAGGTGTTTAAACCAGAGCATTGCATTCATTCTGTTTCCAGCTTGAAATTTGTATGAATTTCCTAAATGAGAAAGGTACAGAAAAAAAACTGATAAAGAAACACAAACAATCCTATATATTTAAAATCCTACCCATATTCAAATATCTCTAAATTAAAACATTACGAAAAGATTTAACAGCAGAAGGTTCACATAACTTTACACTTTGTCTGGCATAGGTGCAACTTAATTGTTTGGCCTAGTGTGAGAGAAGTTTCAGCTCACCGGCCTTCTTTTCCAACATTCTAGATTTCAACTAACATCAGTGTGAGTGAGGAAAGAACAAAACATTCTCAGATTCCTACAACAACAAAGTTTTTGTTCAATGCCATTATTGCAATTTATTTATAATATGATTTCATAATTTTTTAAGTGAAAGATAGCACTGAAATGCACTCTAGAAAGTTAGATTTGAAAATATTTGAAGACTGTTCCTAAAATATCAATACATTTCAGACAATTATTTTCAGTGTCTGGTGTTATATAGTGCTTGCTTAGGCTCAGAAAGACCAGATGTTACAAAAACATTTCATGTTGTTATTACTGAGTTTAAGTGGACTGATATTCATAATTTACACCACATATCAGTGGTGCTAGAATAGATGCTTGGAAATAAAATGTACTAATACTTGAAGTAGACAAGGCAGTAATTAACATTAAGTTCCTTTATCAGATTGTCAAATGATGCTCTTTCTGCATAGTTTGAAGGGCTATGGCCAAAGTCTGTAATGATAGGACAAAGGGTAATGGGTTCAAACTTAAACAGGGGAGATTTAGATTAGATATAAGGAAGAAATTCTTTACTGCAAGAGTGGTGAGGCACTGAAACAGGCTGCCCAAGGGACTTGTGAATGCTCCATCTCTGGCAGTGTTCGAGACCAGGTTAGACAGGGCCTTGAGAAACCTGGTCTAGTGGAAGGTGTCCCTGCTCACGGCAGGGGGGTTATAACTAGATCATCTTAAGGTCCTTTCCAACCGAAACCATTCTACGATTCACCGTTTAAACTGAAACCAGGACACTATGTAGAAGTAATGGAAATCAAGGCTTCTCTGCAATACTGTCAAGATCTCCTACGATTTTTAATCCTGGTAATACCACTGCATTTGAACAGATGGTTTGGGTCTTGTTTTTCATTTGGAGAAAAGAGGGGACTGGTCAAGTACCTAGTATTAGCTAAATATTGAACTTCTTGTTTTTATTGTTACTTACATTTTCACATATGTGAAAATGCCTCTGGGTGATCTAAACATAGCTTAAAAAAATGCAGATGAATACTTGCAACAGAATCACAACTGGAGTTATTAGTTTGGAGAGTTCTTAGAACTTGATGAAGTCCCTAAGGATTCTCCACAGACAATGGTTCCCATAACATTCTAAAGGTACACATGACATGTTGCAGAGCAGTTGAATAGGTGAAAAGTAACATCTTTCCAATTTCTTTTAGTTGCTTATGAATACCTCAGAAAAGCAAATGTTTATTCTGGGAATCCCTGCACTCTTGATGCTAGCATTGCTTACCCTTCTCAGAATCAGTCAATAAGAAGAGATCTGGATGCTCAGGGTCATCTGCCATCATCACCATCCACCCCACCACTGACACATTCTTACTCGGTGTGGATTTGAACTGCAAATACAAGCAGAGACCAACTGTAGTAAAACAAGAAGCTTTAGCCAGACAGACTGCACTGCACAGAACAAGCATGCAAAAAGGCAGTTCTTCTCAGTGAAACTGTTCAAGGCACAGAATAACTTCAAAGGAAGCATAGCACTTCATAATATTAAGGAAGTTTATGAATTTTATATGGAGTTCGTGAAAACAGAACTTAGTACAATGAATGATATTCAAAACAAATTAAAAGCAGTACCAAAATCCCCCCCAAATGTATCAACAGACATCTAAACTGTACTGTATGAAAACAATAGCATTCCTCACATTACTGCACGTGTAGTACACTCTAGTTCAAAAAGAGGGCTTTAACGAAGGCAAAGCTAATGCCTCTACTGTTAATAAACAGCAGAATTAAACTGTCTGTGCCATAATTATTCAAAATTAACATGCATTAAGTATTATAATAGACTGTAATTAGACAAGCCCCATGAACAAGATAACACAACTGCGCAATTAAATATTATGACCTGATGAATGGAATGGATCAAATGGGGGTTATATACAATAAACAAGTCCACAGAACACAATATGCTCATTTATCAACAAGATGCTCAAAATGATGGGTTCTTCCTGTTCAAAGTGCTACTCACACACTTATCTTGGGCCTTTTATAAGCACAATACCTGTCTCTGCTACACTAGCCTCTCTTGGTCCCACTCTCCTCTTCATTCACCTGGTTAGTATTATATCCTAGTTGTCAGGCTTCTCCTCTCAGTTACAGGCTATTCGCCCATTAAATCCAACCCATTTCCAAACCACAAGGTTCCTTCTCCCTGGTCTCCTTGCTCATCTATTAGAAGATCGTCACAAATCAGCTCTCAGTACTTGCTCAGACACTCCCATTCACTCCCCAATACCTAATTCATTCAGTTTGTCCCAACTCTCTGGTGGCCAGATCTGATCTCTTCTTCCTACGTTCATGGATCTGACACAGATTTTTCACCAGTGTCTTACCCTCTGCAGTGCTTTACCTCACTTCTCTGCCCAGGTAGTCCAACTCTGCTATACGCTGGTCCTTACCAGATGTATCTTCCTCCTGTCTTGTGAAGTTTCTAGTCTAACCTCTTTCTTAGTACAGTAATTTTGACCTCTCTTTAATTACATTATTCAAAATGATAAAGCTAAAAATATCTCAGGGACCTTTAAAGTCATTAAAATAAATGTATACTTCTAGAATGCTTTAATTCTCCATATTAACACCACATAGCAGATCTACAACATTAAATATAAAATGTCTTTTGTTTCATTTTAGAGATATTGCTTTACTATTACAAATCTGGAACTCTGGTTCAGCAAAAAACCCATTACTGCTAAGAATTTTGAGAGTATCATAAGTAATGTGAGAGTTTATAAGAATATTCTCTCTATGGGAATATAACTAATTATAATTAATTAATTATAATTAATATGCAAATATAATTTACTTTATAAGTAGAACTCCACTGCGAGCCTAATGTCAATTATTCTAATCTATGCCACAGATTAAATGGAGACCCTGAATATCCAGATAAGTTTATCTGTCTGGGGCTCGTGCAACAGGCTACATTATAACTTTAAATGAACAAATATTAAGACCAATATTTGAAATAAAAAGTAGTTTAAGCAAGAGTCCGGTCTCTCTGTGTCTTATAGATATTTGAATGCATCAATTCTGTACTGCCCTCTTTATGTTGCTATAGTTACACTTGGAGGAACCATTCCACCACAAGTTCCTAACAGTCAAGGTCAGCTGTCCTTTATGTAATGTCAGAGGAAATATAAAAGCTTGGAAACTTTGAAGGGATGCTTGTACAGATAGCTTAAGCATAAGAGTGATGATGATCGTTCTTAGGAAAGACCTGCCTGCCAAACTTCAAAATGGATGCCCTTTTTTTGGTAGAACTAAGGCTAAAACTGTGGGAAAAGACTAATCCTCATAAACCCCATAGAACTGTATATACTGAAGTTAAGTAACTCTACTGCCTTTGGGAGGTGGACAGATTTGTTAGCACCTCATAAGTAAATTGTAAAGCTCTATCAGACAACATTACATTACTTCTTTCCAAATGTTAACTAAAATGTCTTTGAAAATTCCAGTCAGTGATGAAAAACATTAAGGAATTTTATCTGAAAGAAGGAATAAAGACAGGGAAAGGGAATAAAAAAAAAAGGATATGGCTTATGAGTTCTTAAAGGACTTGCTGTGGACCCACTGAAGACATTGCCTTGAAAAATAAAGATGGCACAGTTTACACTTAAAAGGGACCCACAAAATGCAAACCTCCAAGTAGTCCTACAAAACATTAATAGATCATTTTCCCAGAGGTTGAAATTTGATTCACAAGTGGCTTTAATAAGCTACAGATCAACAACATAGCTCTTAAACTGCACTCCTTTCTAGAGTTTCATGGAAACATTTGCACTTTCGTATGTTAGTCATATATCATAACAATAGGTATACAATATATGAAAGTGCCACGCAATCAAAATTGTGAGAGCTCGCTTGTTTTTGCATTTTATTCAAAACAATTAGCAAACCATGATACCTCTCCAAAAAGTAAAAAGTTCCACACAAGGAAAGTGTTTCCTGCCAGTATCAATCCATCGTCACTTAAAACACGTCAGTTTTCCATCCCTGTGCATGGCTGGATTTGCACTCCGTGTTTACATAGTCCTCCAGGGCAGTTCATTATCTACTGACACACAGAGCCTTGCTAACAGCAAGTCTGCTTTGTTAACATGGAGGGAAGGAAAGCTTCATTGTAATTTAATGTTCCTTGTTCCTCTCGGCTTGTTTTTTTCTTTTTTATACAGGCCACTGGAATGACCCTTTTGTAATACACATATAAAACTACACAGCTCTACTGCTAGGCTTCACATAACTAATGTTTTGTTGTTCTGAGCTCAAAGGCTTTTATACATCTTTGAATCAAAACCTCTGAATTCATCTGTGAACAGACTTTTCACTCCAACCTTTTGGCACCTACAAATCTCTTCCTCCTCTTCTGCTGAGATTTTACAGCTTTCCAATATTCAAATAATTTCCTTGGTGGCTAAGCATACTTCCTAGGATGACAGCATTCTTTATCAGGGGATTTCAGTGAAAGCGCCTTAGCAAAAACTACCAAGTCTTCCAGAGTGCCAATAAACGGGTCCAATTCTGAATGCAGTGGAAGGCTTGGAATAAACAAGGGTTCATGCCCAAGCATGAAGCCTCAAAAAAAATCTCTGTTGCTTTTCCAAGTGCTTACAAACATGGAAAAATCTCTCATACATGTTACGTTGTCACAGAAACTGGTGAGATTCTTCCAGCCCAATTACTATGAACAGATGGATTTTTTTAGGGGCATATTCACATCTTCCAGGGTGAATGCTTTATGTAAGACTAATGTTAAGTTGGCTATTTTTCACTATTGTCCTTTTCTAAAGGTGCCCAAGTGCTACAGTTCCATCACAGAAGCTCATTTGTGGCTACTGTTTCAGCATATGAGATAAAACCTTAAGCATTCAAGACACATTCCTCTCAGATTCTCCTGTACCACATCTCTGGGCTCTGAAGCTCATTACAGACAATTTTACAGTACTGTAGTAATAACTGAAACCTCTTCACTACTTAAAATACAAAGCTCATTATAATCAGTAGTATTTCTTAGCAGACACAGCACAAGAAAGTTTGTCACATTCAGGCATCTACAGCATTCTCTTCCTTTTGATTGATTTCACTTCTAGAACACACACTACACTGGATGCACTCCTTTGATTTTAACCATACGCATGAGAAGAGCTGACTTGCCCATGTCTACAAGGGAGGGGATTTCTTGCACTTTTTGTTAGGTTACACTGGGATTTTTATGAAGTAATTTTCCAAAGAGGTTAGCTATTATAAGCTTGGAAGAGCTTTTAGTGTCAGTGCATTCCAAGTCCTCAGTCTCAGCTGCCTTAAGCAATAGCAGCAGCAGAACCGTCAAAAGCATGCCTGTAATCAAGACACATTTACCACGAGAGTTCTAAGCCAGGAAACTTTATATAGCAGACTGACTTTTTTGTTGCCAGTGTTCCTCTCCATGTCACAGAAGCCTTGAGAAAGGAAGCTGAAAAGACAGATGTTTACATAGCTCCAGAAGATGCTTGGAATATTTTACCTGTGTAAATCTCAAATGTATCAATCGGAAAAACAAATACGCTTCAAAGTAGACAGCATCATCCTTTTTATCCATTTAACCTGGACAGTAAAAAACCAAAACATAGATCTAGCCTCAAATATTTATTTGTTTGTTTGTTGGGTTTTTTTGTTGTTTTTTTTCCCCCCAGAATGTAGCTCTTAGAAATACCAGTGGATTTGTACAGTGAACTTACACCCATACACTAGCTAGCTATGGATGGTTGACCACCTACAGTTTATTCTCTCTTGGTTAACTTTCTTTCTGAAAATGCAACCAAACGTGAATTGAAGCACGGCATTTGACAAGTCATCTTCACAGACTGCAGAACAAAAGCTGAGGTTTTGTGCTATAACCCTGTAGTGAAATGGATGGAAAACTAAGCCATCAATACCTATGCTAAAATTAGAACACAGACTAGGTGAACAAAGTTACTGCCCACCTGTTACTAGGCTGTTTATTAAACTGGAGCCTCTCTCCCTAATCCACCAACCCCAGACTCCCACAGCAGTTACCAGGTTATTTTCCACCTTAACTTCAGCATAAAGATCATACTCTGTGTTTGGAGCAGAAGTACATGTACTGTGAGCTATTTATTTTAACGAAAGACAATCTAAACTGTAGCTAAGAGGTATTACATTATTTTAACCATGACTGTACTTGGGAAAATACATAGAAGACCCAAGTCTCATAATATCCTTTGAACACATAAACAGAACAAAATATGTTTGCTTCCCTAAAAAGCTAAAAGTAAGACTTCAGCTGTGTATAAACAACGCCAAGATTGCACTGGATAGTTCCGTACAGCCTCTGCTGTAGCCATCATTGCTTTTTAATACTGCTCCTCCATCTCCCCTTTCCTGGGAACTTCATTGCTCAAACTCAGCTCAGTTATTTGTAAGCCATAAGGCTGGTAGACTCCTAACTCTGCCAGCATTACGGACTTGAATGTCTCTTAGCCTCTATCCGCAAAATTTGTTATTAGTCTGGCACATTCTTGGACAAATAAACATTAGAACAGAAGGATGCAAGACAGATTTTGGCTTCCTAGGGACTAGCCTCTATTCACAAGTAGTTTGGCTGTAGATATCACAACACATCAGTGACCTGGGGAGTATTAAATGCTAGTTCCATTGGTTCAGAAAATTTTTGAAAGACCATTCTAAATGGCTATGACTGCATTTCAAGACAAAAGCTTTTGTTTCAAGACAAAGGCTTTTGCAGTCAGAGACTCAAGAGAATCAGATACCAGACTTGAATGCTTATATTTATTACTTTTTTACTTCATGCACTTTTCCTAAAGAAAGGGCAGGACCATTTAAATGATTAAATGTTATTCTGAAGGAAGCATGTATGCAAATGGACCACAAAAATTCAATATACTGAATTTCCAAACAATAAAATTACCAGCTATGCAATTCTTCCAACTTCTCTAAACCCGTATGTTATTTAGATTGTTTTAAAACATTTATGCACAATACTGAAAAAGCTCATGATTTAACAGGTACAACTATGATAAAGTCTGCCATCATACAGTACTTTGACAGGCAGTGGACAGGAGAGACTTACAAATACATATTCTATTCTTAAAAGAAAACAAAATGCAATTTTGGTATAAAGCCTAAAGGCATCACATCATAACAGGAACATGAAGTCTGACATCACAAAAAAGTCTTTTCCATTTCTCAACTTTTCCAGAAAAAGCAAGCAACTAACCGTTAGTGACATAATGCCAGCACAAGTTCTCTCTTGGTTCTTTCTCCTTCATTTGCTTTAATACTTCATAGTTCTGCTCATAATAGTTTACAAGTCTGCTCTTTCCAACTACCTTTACTTTTAATGAGACAGACTCCTTCAATAAGGTTTTCACTGATATGAGAGGCAAATGCATCCAAACACATACAGTTCTCTAAAGACACCCAAGAGACAGGATGCTTGGCTAACAGGCTTTTGGTCTGGGCTAGTATTGTCTTAACTGGCAAGAAAAATTAAATAGGATCTGTTTTGATCTCATCTAAGCAATCAGAGCCAGTAGGGGTGGGACTACTGAAGAGGATGATGGCAAAGAAACTATATAAATATTTCTACAAGTAATTAGCTCATTAAACTACTTTGAGTATCAGGATACTCTTTCCTAATGAGCTATTTTCAATGAAAGTGGAAAATACTCAGGGGTTTTGTAGATTAAGACAATTCAAACATCCAGGAATATACTAATCAGAACAGAAGTCTTAGGCTTCAAATCTCTACCCTCTCAACATAAAAATGTTAAGATAAGAAACCAGTATCTTGTACCAAGAAAAAAAAAAAAAAAAAAAGGCCACTTACAAGGATTCTAGAAGTGCAACTCAGTTTGCAGAATTACACAGGCTTTATGCAAACAAATGTTTTTCAGTGAGCACTGCCATAAATTAATCTGAAACACTGGCCAAGGCAACTGTAAGTAGTGGTTCCGAGTAGTGAATGAATTTGGAAAAAGATCCAAATATCTCAGATTTTACCCGCTTTCTTAAAACAATCTCTGGTGGCATCCCCTTTCATTGTAATTAACCAGCGAAAACAGGAACTACGCACATTGTAACATCCCTGGAACATCTACAGAAAATCTATTTACTATTTCCCCACATAAGCAAAGTCTTACTAGCTTCTTTCAAATAAAGTTGCAGCAAATAAAAGCATTTGCACTCTGTTGTAGTTAATAGATTACAGGATTACACAGGAAAAAAAAAAGCAGTCTAATTTTACCACAGATATGAAATCAATACATGTTTAACATCATACATAGTGACTTCTCAGTCTTTCCACATCAATGCTTGTTTGGATTTCAAGTAGCAACAAACTGCGGCAAGAGTTGGAGATAATCAAAAGATATGACTTCTATCTTAAAAAAGCACACAGACCCAACGATACAGTTCCTTCCCTTATAGAACAACAAATTCAAAGAGACACATGGCATATGCAAAGCAGATGTTCTTGGTGTAGCATATAAACAAGCATGATATTTCCATTAGGGCATATCCACATGAGGTGACTGATTGGAAGACAGGATAGTACGGACTAGAAATCATTCAAGTCCTGAACTACTCTCAGTGTTTACATCAGGAAATAACATTTCAATTTTGGCAGATGATACTGGAATATGTCTGGTTTACATACATGTTTTCTCTCTGTAGCCTTCAGAGATTTTGCAGCATAGTAAAAGAGCTGGGTTCCACACAGTGCTACCCAGTATTTTGTCCAAGATGCTACCTAGAGAGAAAAGAATTAAAAAAGTGCAGTAGACAAGTGAAGTATTTCATATTACTGAGCAGTAAAATATCAGGCACCATCCTGCAAGAACATGACAGCACTAACTGCCCAGCCAAACCATCAGCCATGTTTCCAAAACTGCTATTTCTAGTTATTTGTGTAGGTCTCTGAATGCATTAAAAATCTAGAAAGCAGAAAGAACATGTGCTTTTCTCACTAATCTGAGAAAAGATTTCTGCATCTTACTCTGTACTTTCTGCAATCCTTACTGAACACATCATTGAGTTAGAGCACATTTCTCCCTTTTTCATTTTTTGTACTGTCATAAAGCACCCCCCATTGTCATGAATATGTATTTTTATTTATAATTCATAATCAAGCATTTGTAATGGAAATGCTAGGAGTTATTATATATTGATAAATTGTTAGGATCCACCTACCATTCAGGAAGACAAACATGCTCCTCTCGTTTAGAGTTACCAGTAATTGTAAGAAATTTTATGTAGCATTACACTTCTACTCCCTTGATTATGGCTATATCCTTATAAACTGAATAATCCACCACAGAAGTATAAACCTTAATTAGTAAGGCAGAGATGATCTCAGACACTGGAATTAGCTGCACAGTGGCCATTTTACTGTATTTATAACTGGGCAAATGAATAAGGTGAGAAAATGAATTAAAAATCTTACTGTAGGTTTTTTGCCTTCTTTCAACAAAGTCTTCCTCCTTAGAACACCTTGAATAGTAACTGCTCCTGGATACAAATGAACAGCCAAATCTTCAGATTCCAGGGAGCTGAAAGGAGCATGTGAAGACTTGTGTGTAAAGGTATTTTTCCAATCATTACCACAAACTAATGCAAGTACCTGTATTTTAATTTAGAAATGACAACTACTTATTGGACTTCATCGTGGAAAAAGACTTTTGCTGTTACAAGGAATTGGTGGTGTGGAATTTATACTAACAAGCAAAAGTGATCAGAAAAATTAATTAGTCAAGCAGGTAATCCTGAATTAAAAAAAGGAAAACTGAAGACACAACTGAAACAGAAGAATAATTAAATTTAAAAAGCAAACATTTTGAAGTACATTCATACAGTTGTCATATGTGTTAAAACCTCTCCTTCAGCTCTTGCAAGAAAGATTATTTCTTTGTTAGGAACACTGGGATCATTAGCACATCGAAACCAAAGTGTAGCTCAAACATGCACAATCTTTAAAATATCTGAAAGCAAGAAGAGTGGGCAGGAGCAGTAATAGAGAGTAGAAACCCACACCACAGCTTTAAGGTGTTTTAATGCCTCTGGTGCTTCACTGAACATCTACTCTATGTAGGATCTAAGAGCAATGGGCCAAAAAAAATGCCAATTACAGCATTGTGAAAAGAAAACTCAGCTTTATTAAAATTGCGAAGCTGACTGACTTACAAAACATTTTCAAACAGAAAAAAAAATACAACAGGAAATGTCAGGCAGAGCATAAAATTGAACTGCTGAAACCACAAGGAACCGGTGAGCCCAGTAGCTTTCTAGAAAAGCCAAGAAATTGAACAGTGCCTGAAACTCATTTTGAAGTAAGCCAGGATTCGCTGTTTCATCCATCCTAACATTCATGAACATTCACAGTAAATTGGAAGTTTAGCAAATGTTTTCACTGCAGCACCTACTGAGGGTGATGATATGGAGACATTTTTGGACACTGATATATGTGAGCATGAGTTTAATTCAGTGAGACAATGCTGGCTTCTTAACATGAAAAAAGTTCCATAGTTAATGGCCATCTCCTTCCCAATTACAGTGCCACGCAGCTGGAGACATAATTTGTATTTTAACTAACCAGAATAATCAGTTATATTATTCTATCAGCTTGTGACTAATGCGATATATAATAAATCTCTGATTTCAGGGAAGAAGGGAAAATAAATTCAATAGAGAACTGCCAGCAAAGATAGTATCTTGAATGCCATCCATTAGCACAAGAATCAGCTTTGTTGTCCATGTTAGAACTACCAATACTGCTATGCAGTGGCACACAGTTAGAAAGCTATCTCTGGTAAAACATCTTTAAGGCTATATATAAAGATCCAATGGTTCAGAATTTGGATCTGCAGACTGGAATGAACAAAAGCCCATATGGTCATACAGATTAAGTCACAGAAGAGGAAAGTTTCAAGTTTGAAGAAGGTCTCTACCTTTATTTTGACATATAAGTTAGAAACATAACATCAGAAAACACCCACTTAATTATTAAACCAAACCAAATCACCAACACCAGAGGGAAAGTTTGACACCTCTGTGTGCAGTGGAGATTGTACCTGCTGGCCTTCATGTGGCCTCGATAGCCATTTCGTGACACTCTTGTTCCCGGACCGAGAGAATGGTACAACCTCTTCCTGTTGAATTCCATTATAAATTGTACGTATTACATATACTTTTATTCACACAAACAGCATGACTGCTAAAACAGCACAGCATTTTTTTGTGTGTGCAGATTACAAAGCCACTTCATTCGCATAAGAAACAGAGGATAATTTTATTTAGAAAAATGCATGCAGAGGTAGATACTACGTTGGTTTTTTATTTCATCAGATGTTCTCTTTGTCAGAACTCGTAATATTGAAGTGTTTCAATGTAATATTGAAGTAATATTGAATACTGAATAATATTGAAGTGTTTCACTGGCAGAGAGAGTAATCCATTTTGAAAGCGAAGTCTGTATCTAGTTTGTAGAGATTAAGTCAATGTAAAGTAACCATTCTGACTTTAGATGTCACTACAAAAAAAATGGTTTCGACTTCTATGAATGTATGCACAAACACAAGATGTTGGGCTGAAAGGAATCAAAAGCACTGTCAAACTATGCCTGTTTAAAATACTGTTGTATTAAGTAACACTGAAATAAGGTAAGCAATATTTCAATTCTCCAACTCACATAAGCTCTAAACTTTACGTCTAAGATACACATTTTATTCCTTATCCTGATCTATACTATTATCCCTAGTCAAGAACTGTGTTCTAGACCTGCATTTTGAATTCCACTTCACTTTACTGAATCTTGTTATTCTGGATCAGATTCCTTTGTCAGCTGAGTTCAATTAAAGTTAACAAAAGCACAGGCACTTTGTCCTCACCTCCTATTTACTGTGTTTTTCTAGTTGCTTGCATTATGCTGGAAGATTTAAAATCAGCTCCAATTCTGCAGAAGCAGGCAAGTTAAGTACAAGTTAAGGCAGCTAAGTACAAGCCTAAGAGAATTTTGCACACAAAATCTCCTACATAGGATAAATCTAACAATCTGTCATCTGTGAGAGGGGCTTTGCAATAGCTGCATTTGACAGGGCAGTATTTCTCAGAATGGGAAACCTAAACAAGTAGCATTTTCACATTTCAGTCTGAAGTCAGAATAGCATACAGCAGACAAAACAGGCTTAAAGAAGGGATACAGTAAAGGTCAGCAGCATTAAACAACAAGAATAAGGGGTATTTTTGTTTGGTTTTGTCATTTTAACTTTTTTTTTTTTAACCAGCTCAAACTATTGCCTTCATTGCAGGAAGAATTATCTAAAAGATACTAATGAATTATGATCTACTAATCTATCCCAGAATTTCCATAATTTGTTTTTCAACATATCTTCAAATTTATCAATATTTTTAAAAATACATTCAAGATGTAGACAAATAAAACAGTAACTCAGTTGAAGGAAAAAACGTAGTATGAGCTATATAGTTGTGTGTACATATATATTTCATGCAAACGAAATGTTTTCTTCTTACCTTTAAGTTTGGGTTTTGGGTTTTTTTGCATAACAAGAAGGCTAGCACTCTTGGATTCATGCTATTTCAGGGAAATCTATTCAGGGACACTCAGGATGACAACCAGTGAAACTGAAGTGCCACTTAGTATACTGCTCTCAATACGATATAACTGTCAAGACTTGGAAATAGAAGTCCTTCAAGTAATTTTGACTAGCATTAAGGGGGCACCCCAATGCTGAAAACTCTCGAAGTTCAAACTAAGTTTCTGTTGCACTAAAGAATCAGTGACTCTCCTTCTCACTCCTTCTGCACCTTACAGTTACAAACAACAGGAGGGCCAGGAAAATCAAGAATATTTGTTACAATTCTTTGTTACATGGGGAATCTGTGTGTGGAGTACCTTATTTTTTTCCTCTTAAGTCCTCCTACCCAAAGATCCTGTTCCTAAATCACTGGGAAATATTGAATTCTCACTGACACTGCACAGGAAGTAGTCATTATTAACACTGGATGTATCACAATTTTCTCAGGAGCTGTTCATTCCAGATAACTAATGCTTCTCCCTCACTTAGACTCCTTCTCAGCAATGAAAATCCACTGTATAGATCAAGACTAGAGAGACACCCTCTTGGCGTTAACCTCAATTTTTAACATTTGCATGTCAGTGTATTACCTATTACATTCCAAAACGTGCTTCATCAAGGAACAGACACAAGGTTGTTGTGTATCTCTAGGAATTTCACATACGATGTTTTGAATGTCTGTAAGGATCCCAAACCCTCTCCCTGGAAGCAGGCAAGAAAACTCACCCTGAAAAACATGCAACTTCAAATTGAGTTCTCAAAGATCTCTCTCGGAAGAAAAGAAAGTACTGAAGGCAAGTAGGATTTGGAGGAGGAATCTTCTGAGGTATTTGTCTGAGATGGAGCAAACCTTTTAACTAGGTAGAGTCTGGGCCAGCCAGTACTCATTAGAACAGGGATGAAAACCTCTGCTTTGTCTCAGAAGTCCATGCAAAAATTCTGGAGCTGAAGTCTAATGCTTACTAAGATTTTTAAGTTTCTTATGCTACTGAGGTAAAAGCACTTCAGTTCACCATTTTCCATATAACTTTTTAGCTTTGCGAAAAGATTGAACTTGATTCATTCCATAAGGCAGCAGGGAAGGAAAAGCAAGAAAACCTTCTGAATGTTGCAAATTGCATCACAGAAGTTAGAAATCTTCTTTCTAATCCAATTTTCTTTCTATACTCATCTGGAACATTCTTACTGCTTAAATAATGGAATCATAAAGGCATTTCTTCATGTATGTAATCATATTTATGTCATGAAATATCAAAGAGTTCACCCGTGACACACAGAGATTTTCAAAGATTTCTTCCAAAAAGTAACACAGAACTTCAACTGCTTCAATGAATTCAAGCAGAATACAAGGTTTGTGGTAACAGTTCCCAACTATAAAAGTATGTTCCCTGACAAAAATTTCTACAAAATATGTCAAAGCATGGTAGAAAAATTCTTCCACAGCAACTCTGAAGCTGATGGATTACCTGAAATTGAATTATAGAGGGAAACTACGCACTGTATTGTGCATCTTAACTCAGCTGTAGGAAGACGGAATTTCCAACTATTACTATATAGAACTACAGCTGCTAGTCTTTTTCCACATTCTCAAATACAACATGGGAAAGGATTGAAGCAGTCAGTGTCACCCAAGCACTTGCAGGTATTGGATAAGGAGCAAAACGTTAATTCTAGACCACAAAAACAGACATTAGCAAGGGGCATTTTTGTGTTTTCCCACATAACCTGGGTAAGTAACAATGAAGTGAAGAGCAGATAGAGAGAAAAGAGGTGACAGTGTCAATGACAAGAACAAAGGGACAAAGAACAGATAAAGTAACTTGGGGAAAGAGAAAATCAAAAGCAGATAGGTCATATGAATAACACACAAGATACACAAATATATGAAAACAGAAAAATCATTTGGGGGTTAATGGTACTCTGGTTGAGCTATTTAGAAGAATGTGTGCAATGAGTAAGCACCCAATTAGACAAAATCCCTATTAACTACTAGTGAGCAGAAAGTACATCTCTACTGCTTTACCAGATCCAGTGACATTACTACAGTTTATTAATATTCTTACATACTGAAAATCTCTACATCACTAAAATAAAGCATAATTTTCAGGACTGAGTGAAAGACTGTAAGTAAGGTCTAACTAGAGAAATGCAGGTTCTGAGTGGCAGTTTTTCTTACCTTTCAAATGCAGGCCAGGAGGTCTCTTCACTGAGTTCAGAACCATCACTACTACCTTAAAAAAGACAGGAATGAATGATAGTTTATTTCAACATCTACAATCCATCTATTTCAGTTATGTCTGTTTCTACTCATTTTATTTAAGATTAAATGTATAAAAACCCCACTAAAATAGTACAAGGAAAATATTTTGTGATTTGCTTCAGGAATTTGACATAAACTGAAATAGAGATTTGAAGGGACAGATACACATTAAGAAGTGCTAATAAATGGGAAAAGCACTTTCAAAATTTAAAGAACATCCTAAATGCACATTTGTCTAGTTAATACGAAGAGCATTGAAAAAGAAAGGTCACTTACTTTGATAATTCTTTAGGAAGCCAAACATTGTCATAGCCCAATACTAGCTACTATTAAGAAAACTATCTCAGGGAAAACCAGCACAACTGCTCATGAATTTTGTAATAATTCTGACATACTCATCATATTGCTGAGGGCCTCATATAGTGATGTTCCTCAGAGAGGCAGTCTACAGTTTCTCTGAGTAACCTGTTACTGTGTTTCACAACCTGGTTGTAAAAAAAGTTTTCCTTACAGGTAATGAAATTTCCGTTGATACTTGAAGCAGTCTGTCCCACAAAATGGTGCAGTAATTCCTGTTTCCCTAGTCATCCAGCCAACACTGAAGTTATTGGGGACACTTAGAGTCTTATTTATTTCCTTATTACTGCATAGACTTACCTTTATATTAACAGGAATACAACACAGTACAAAGTACTCTAAACAGGAAGATTTAAAAGCTTGTGTTCCTTTCTAAAATTGCAAAACAATCTAGAGCAAAAGAGCTGAGCTTATCTTTTAGAAAGTGATAATCCTTTTTACAGTATCAGTACACTTATAAAAGTTAAACTAATTCTGAGGATTCATAACAAAAAGTTTCATATAAAAAGTTTAATATATACAGAATTTGCCAATTACACTTTAAAAAACAATGTTCATTTGGAAAAAAGTGGGCCAAACATCACAGTTATTGATTTAATATTTATGTCGATGCCTACACAGGTTTTAAAAAGATGTAACAAAAACCTAGAAAAGGTTAAATTTTAGTCTTTGACTAGTCCTCTAACATCTATATAGACTATCTTTAACAGGAGCTTTTAGAATCTAAAAGACTCCAGGGGATTTTTTTTTGCACAACAAAAGTTCTCATACAAAAAATATCCCTTTCCCAAAAAGAATATACATTACATCCCTCCCTTCAAAACCAAACAGAGGTGAAAGGAGCTGTTTTTAACTTAGTAAAAGTTAGGTGTCTAGCCAAATTCTGTTTAAACATTAAGTGCACTATTTGACTATCATTTCATCTGGAAATATTTCATTCATTTAGTGCTTAAAAAAATACATCACCTTCCTAAATTCTTCTCAAGTATGTACTCAATATTTGAGTTTTTCCAACAACCTCAAGTTGGTCTTCAGGTTAAACTTACTAACAAATCCTAGGTAGCGTAAGTCCTTTCTATTAAGTAATGTTCTACGCTAATTTTGGCTTTATGTAAGAAGCCAAGTGACAAACCACTATCTTGCTAGTTTTCTTTATTGCTAATAAAATTTAAAATTTCTTGTATAGAATTAAAAAAAAGTATATCAGAGTTGTGTTTATCTTTAATACTTAACATGAAGGCTTTTTCCTACCTTAGGAATAACAGGAATGATATCTGAGAAGTTTCAGGATTGTTTACACAGAGCTCTAGTACTGCAGCTGAATACAGACATGAATTTTCTGCTTGCACTGTGGATGCACATAAATATATCTGTGCTACAGCCAAACAAACAGCGTGCTGCTAGGTTTCCAGTTATGTGATAGGGAATGCCTATACCATTGCATACCCCTGGTCTTGGTATCCATGCATTGCCGAAAGTCTGAGGAAACTGAACATTTAACACAGGCTTCCTTTATCCAGAAGGTCCCCAAAGTTAAACAGGTGTTAATATAAACAAACCAACCCAAAGAGTTTAAAAACTATTCAGACTAAAAATTCTTTCCCCTTCTCAAATCTGCAGCTGACACTCTCTTGGCTTCAGTCACACTGTGTTTCCAGACTACTAGTAACCATACCTGGTGACTGACCTGGTAGAGCTTGAAATTTAAATGTGAAAACACAAAAAATTGGCCAAGAGACCTGAAAATGAATTGCCATAGCACAATACAGCCCAGCTAACATCACAGAGATGGACTCCATGCCCTAAAAGTTATGTTCTGCCCTGTTGAGTCTATGACCATACCAAAAATCCTCATGATATTTTCCTAGTTAGTTATCATTTATCTATTGTACAGTAAAGTTTAAATAGCTCAACTTGGGCTTGCTAGTTAGCTAAGAATGGTGTGAAGACCTGCAAACAATCCAAGCAAGATAATGTCAGAGAATCAACACAAACTTTTAATACCATCACTGATAACGAGTTTCATCGTGAAAAATAAACAAGAGCAAATAACCAAATGGATAAAGATGGGGCAGAAACAGGTGGTTTCTGCAATTACATTAATTTCAAAACACTCAAGAGCACATGCCTTGGACCAAATAACAGTAATACGGATTAGGGAAGCAATAGGGTGCTAGAACTCCTATATATCCCTCTTCTCTCAAATCCAAGTACCTACATGTGCAATTTTAACCTAAAGTATTATTCTGCTCTTATATTTACCCTATCAATAATAGGGCAGTAGTACACAATAGCAAAGCAGCGTATCCACAGTTAGGCCAAGAGGCGGATATCTATATACTCACTTAAATGGAATATAAAAACCCCAAACACATTTCTCCTGCCTGAAACACTACCCAGACTTTGATCTTCTGATGCAGACTGTTGATGAATCGGTCCTAAACACCTTAAGAGTACACTACAGGGTAAGGAATCAAACAAACATTGGCTGTGCAGAGTTCTTCCTTACTATATAGGCTGCCAAAAACCTGAAAGTAAATGGATACACTGTATACCTACACCTATACTTTGTTTATTTAAAGAGAAACATAATTCCTTGTAGAATTCAAGTACTTCAAGATGGTGACTTAATAGAGGAATTCATTAAAATGCTGATATTCTTGTATGCATTTTATGCCAGCTTATGTTTGAAAATGTTCTTACAAAGACACTTTCTTACATTAACTCACACCGATTTAAAATACCTTTCTTTGACTCTGCAGCATTAATTTATTTGATTGCATTAGAATAAAGACCCAAGTTATTCTTAAGTGGTTGGAACACACAAATGAAGGCAAATGTTCAAGAGACTTAGTTTTTCAGAGCTTTCATCCATATCATTGCAGATTAGGAAAAATAGGTGGTAGACAAGAAATAGTTTGAGTAAGAAAACACTCCAAAGTTAGAACAGAATTTGCATTCAACACTGCTACAAACAATCCATGAATGTGTTTTCTTTGATCTTTTAAATACCTAGAATTACCTCCTCAATTTCAGCCAAGCGTTTCTGTGTTCATACCTCAACATCTATTCTTAAGTGGTATAGATGTGAGACTGCACCCTTAAAAAAACCCCAACACCTTCTAAGCAAAATTACTTTGCAACCCATACAATAGGTGCTGTATGAGGAGAAAAGCCTCACAGAAGCAATGTATGAAAAGAGGGGTCTATTTTACATTGTCCTTTTACCTCGACAGCTTTATTTGGACAATTAGCATTGTAAACAAATCCAGGTTCAGAAAAGAAACTCAGTAACGCAGCTGAGCCAAATTGTAAGAAATTGTGGAAACAAAACTTCTGAGAACATTAATTAAAGTGAGCTTAACATTGCTGCAAATATACTTCAAAGTACACTTAAGCAAGCAAAGAGCACTTAAATAGTATCAGAAAAATCAGGGGCATTAGAAAAACATGTATTCTGAAGAAAACCATGAATAAAAGGAAGTTTCAAGCTATTTCTGAGTGGAACCACGATCTAGTAAAAGCATCTTAATTTATCCTACTTTTAGGCGAGGAGGTGACAGCAGACGAATTAATCCAGGAGAATGCAGGTGTAAGTGGTTCCCTCAACCCAGCCAAGAGCAATGCTAAGACCTCAGAAGGGCAAGCTCACTCTTGAGTGTATACAGTGACCCCACCAAAATGGAGGTATGGCAAAACAGAACTATCTTGTAGCTTTAAGACTTACTGATAGCAAGTGGGGGGGTTCTCAATGAATTTTCACTGCAAAGTAGAAGCATCTGTCCCAGTTTACTAAAAGCAGGTATTCTGGATTGTCTGCACAAAACCAGATATATTTTCAGCAGTATTCATCTGTATGTATTTTCATGTGTTATCTGTCAAAAGTCTCTTCTCAGACAAAATTAAGTGGGGATTTAAGACCGAATTCATATAACCTCTTTTTAGCCACCCACCTGAGATGAATCATATCTTTGAAGATATCAAAATCTCTATATAATTATAAAGAGCTCAATTACAGCTGTCTAAATTATGGATGTCTAAAACTTAGAAGAGACTGTTTCCTCTTATTACATTCCTGAATTCAAGAGAACATTTCCCATCTGATATTGTATATACTACTGGTCAAGTGTTTCTTTCCTCTAATAAGGATAGCTTTGGCACTGCTGGAAGAAGATTTCTCACTTCTGTTTAGATAACGAGCAGCTATATTATAAAGTAAAATGGCAACAGAACCAGCTGTACATCTTCCTTACTGTAACATAAAAAATGACTGTCTACTGAAAACTTCCTCATGGTTCTAGGAACAAAAGCTGTTCTGACCAAAGCACAAGAAATTAATGTAACAGGGACAATATATTTAACTTGAGTTCTATGTTTTTGCAGAATGTGTTGGACGCACACAATCAGGCTCCAGACCCTGAAATTAAGAAAAGAATCTGATACAGATCTCTGATCATGACTGCCATGTTACAGACTGGCCTGTTTTCAGGAAATCCCGTACCTGGCTCACTTTCTGCATTGCTGCTGCTGTAGGAATCAATCATTGTAAAGAAAAATACACAATTAGCATATCCTTCATATCTGAAAGATTAATTACATAGATGTAAAAAATTTGTATGGTGTGCACCATTCCCAGAATGGATCACCAGTTTTTCCCAGAAAAAAATCAAAACTGTCCATCGTCACTTCAATTTAGAGACACAGAACAAAACTTCATCCAGCCATGAATCTCAAACCTAAGCTCTAACTGATCTCTATCACAGATTGAAAGCTTCTATCACAGCAATAATTGAAGAAAACCAAGTGGAAGAGTCCTGATGTATCCCAAGTTGGTGTGTTCACCAGTGGAAAGGAAACAGTACTCTAACGAACCTCCACAACATGCCTATAAATTGTTTTACTGAACTGTAAATGGACTACAGTAATCCGTTAACAGCAAAGGCAACTCAAAACGAGGCCTGGAAAAGAATGTATTAACTCACATACTCTAATGATTTAGATAAAGCATTGTAACGATACAGTGCTGCGTACATCCTATAGTCACTGCTGTTACACTGCTGCTTTTTTGATATTTGAGGTAGTGGCAGATTATATTACAACCTCCAATAGGAAAGGATTGGAAAGGTCTGAACACCCCTGAACCCTCAAAACACAAGTGATTTAAAGTAGTGTTAGAGTTGTCTTTAAGGTCACTTTCAAGGTACCGGCATATCAGAAGCACTGTCTGTGTTTTGAAAAGGGATCATTTATCCAAAATGTTCAGTCTCACATAGGCTTATATCTAAGAAGAAGTAGTCCTGTTTCTAGACTAACAGCTTTATATCTACATTTATGGGCAAGGTGAGGAATAACACTCCTTTCAGTACACACATTCAGAAGAAGTTTTCTTGACTGTCTTTGGAAGTTGTGCTGTAGAATATTGTAAACCTCCTCTCTGTTGCAGTGACTGTACTATTTCCAAGTACTGAGTAAACAGACTACTTCAAACATGGTGGAAGAACTTAGCAGCTTCAATCATCTTCCTTAAATACTGCTGAGGCAGCAGCAGAGAATGCCAGACAACTTAGATTTCCAAGAACTCATCAGTAACAGATACTACAAGCCTCCAGAACTTACTCTCTTCCTCCATATGTATTTCTAGCACCTCTGCTAATCTTCTGTGCCACTGAAATTTTCATAATCAAGAAGCAGCAAAACCAGCTATGATACTAAACTGTCAGAAGAGCGATAAAACTGAAGTATCTGAGTATGGGGAGGCTGGAGATGGAGGAGAATGAAAGTGGAAATTCTAACCACAAATGCTGATCTTACACAAAATACATCAGGTAGCCGCTTTACAGGTGATTTCATAGAATCATAGAATAGTTAG